CTGGCCTCGAACTCACAAAGATCCACCTGCCTCTGCCTCCCAAGTGCTGGGATTAAAGGCATGAGCCACCATGCCAGGCAGGTTTTTTTTGTCTGAGACAGGGTCTCCCTGTAGCCCCAGCTGTCCTGTATTTTTATGTGAACAAGTGTTTTATGTCCATGTAACATCTGTGTTGTGCAATGCCCTTGGAGACCTGAAGCCGTCATAGGATTGCCTGGAATTGGAGTTACCAACAGTTGTTAGCCATCGTATGGATGCCAAACACAGGTCCTATGAAAGAGCAGTCAGCGCTCTTAACTGCTGAGCCATCTCTCTGGCTCTGCTTTTTAAATAAACAAACAAACAGAAACATTAATTTAGTGTGCTTGTGTACATATATGGAGGTCTGATGACAACTTGCAGGATTTGATTCTTTCCTTCCACCATGTGGGTCTGAGACTGAACTTGGTTGGCAAGCTTGGTAGCAAGTGCCTTTACCTAGTGAGCCATCTTACCAGCCCCAACAAGGAAATGAATCCAGAGCCTTGGACATGCTAGAAAAGCACTCCACCACTAAGCCACATTCTGATCCTTAAAACTCAACATTTTACATTAGCTATTTGGCCAACTAAACTCTTCAAGAATGTGTTTCTCATTAAAAAGAAAAAAATTGTGTGTGTGTGTGCACCTGTGTCTGATGTGTGTGAGCACACATGTAGAGGTAAGAGGGCAACTCTGGGGGTACTCTCCACCTTTATATGAGTCCTAGGGACTGGACTCAAGTCATGACACTTGGACAGCAAGCGCCTTTATTTGCTGAGCCATCTTACAGCCCCTGTTTTGTTTTCTGAAACAGGGTCTCTCTAGGGTTAGGCCAGGCTAGTCTTGAACTTGTGATCCTCCTGCTTCAGCCTCCTAATGATGGGAAGCAATGCATTTTTTACTTCATCTGTATCTTCTGAATACAGAGCACAGTAAGTAAATACAGTAGTTAAAGGCTTAGTCAAGTCAATGTACATCAAAGAAAAATATAGAAGAAACATTAATGAACAATAATGGTATTGATGAACTGGAAGTTATTTGAAGGAAATATAGAAAAAGGACTGAAAACATGTAACTCTGAACTCAGTTCCTAAAATGAATACACACTGATGGTGTAGAAAAGAAACTACAAAGGATATTTGAAAACCATGTGGTGTGCAACTTCAAGAGACTGCCAATATTCATCTGGAACAAAACTTGTCTGAACTAAGAAGCAGTTAAATATTCGTAGAGCAAAGGTGAACAAGACCAGGTAAATGTTTTCTCCAAGAAGATCTGAAAAGCAAATCGAAACAGGTAATTGTGGCATCAAAGTTAGGCAGTTTCTCATACAGAACCTATATAGATATGCACCTATGATTGGCCCCTGCCCAAGCTCCACTAAGGCGCTCCCTACCACTCCAAAGTTGATCTACTCTTAAGTGGTGACTAGCTGGCTCAGTGGTAGAGCGCTTGTCTAGATCACGTGAAGCCCCAGTGTGATCCCTAGTACAGTGAAAAAACGCAGACCCAAATAATCCTCCCCGACAAAAACAAACACCCCACAAGAGCCAGCTCATCTATTTTAACCTATCCCGTATTGATGCTTAATGTCTGCCCATCACTGGCCATTTGGATTGCAGGTATCATTGCCTCCGTTTTACATGTGACGAAGGAGAGGCTCAAGAAACTGCTTTGTGCAAAATAAAAACGCTGCACACGAATAGGATTCAAAACATGTCAGTCGGCTGGCTCCAAAGTTTGCTCTTCCCAACGGACAGCTTGTATGCAGAAACAGGGTATTTTCTAAAATTTTAACTTAGTTACCAAAAGTTTTTAAAAACCCGAAACCAGATTTTATATAATCTGTTATCTCTGCCAGGTGTGCTGGCTCATGCCTGTGATCCCAGCACCGCGGAGGCTGAGCACCGGACCTGCGCGCTCAGATGGCAGCAGGTGGCGGGTCGGGCGCCGCAATCCGCCCCTCACTCACCGCCGCGCCTCGGGCGGTCCTCCTGCGTTCTGACGTAGAGCGTAGACTTTCTCTTCCGCAGCTTCACCTTTTCCGGGGAGCGGTTGTGGAGACCCCGGAAGGCGAAGCCGCGGTCGCCCCCCTCGGGGTCCATTCAGTGTCGCCGCGGCGTCACCGGGGTGCAGAAGGCTGACCGTGCGGCCACGCCCGCACTAAGTTTGGCCCCTGAGAGCCGCCGTTGACGGAAGGTGGCAGGGAGTGCGGCTCCACTCGCGCTCCCAGGCGTCCTCCGCGGCCGGGAACTGGACTGCGCTTGCGCTGTTCCACAGTGCTGGTCAGCGGCCGCCCGGGTCCTCCCTGCCATTCGGTGAAGAACTGCCGGGCCTCGGCTGCGCCGTAGCTTTCACCGCCGGAAGTGCAGCCGGAAGCGGCAGAATCTCCTCTGGCCACGGAACGCCGCGTGCCTGACTGGAGTTGGGTGCTGGAAATGGCAAGTCTAAGTGTAAATATTCTGGTCACTTTACTAGACACCTGTCGAGCGAGGCGTGACAGAGGAAACAGCACGGGCGGATGGAAAAACTGGGGCAAGTCAGTGGTGCAGCGCCGCCCAAACGGTGCGCAGGTTATGCTCAGCGGGTAAAGCACCGGCTGCGCCTGCAGAGAACCCAGGTTCAGTTCCCCGCTTCCACAACGGTCCACAACTCCAGTTCAGGGGATCCGACGCCCTCTTCTGACCTTCGCGGGCATTGCATGACAGGACACGGGTGTACTCCCACACATGCAGGCAATACACCCACATGCATAAAAATCAGTTCTCAGCGCCTCAGGAGCAGCGGTCTAATCAGGAGCCAAGCGTCACCCAAATGCCATGTCCTCACGTAGTAACAGTTTCATAAATTTTTTAAGCTTGAATTTGTATGTGTCTGCATCTGTATTTGTGTGTAGTTATATCGAGCCCCCATAGGACTGTAGTTACAGGCCTTCTGCACTGCCTGATTTGAGTGCTGGAACCAACCTTGGTCCCCTGGAAGAGCAGTGTGTGCTGGTAGCCTCTAAGCCATCTCTCCAACCCAGTTTCATGACGTTTTTATAGTAAGATACCAAAGAAGCCGGGCGTGGTGGCGCATGCCTTTGTGAGTTCAAGGCCAGCCTGGTCTACATAGTGAGTTCCAGGACAGCTGGGGCTACAGGGAGACCCTGTCTCAAAAAGACCAGAAAAAAAAAGAAAAAAGAAAAAAAAAAAAAGAAGATACCAAAGAAAGTTATAGATAAGGCATTTTAAGAATCCTCTGGTGCAAACATCAGGTAGGTGGGTTACAGCACAGTGGGGAAGTCTGCTACAGGCCTCAGTGCTGTCTGATGATGGTCTTAGCTTTTGGGTTGGTGGAAGCTAGGGGTTTGTTAGTGCATTCCAGAAGCATTTTACAATTAGACAATATTTTTTAATCATAAAAATATTTGATCATTGGGCTAGAGAGATGACTCAGCAGTTAAGAGTGCCGCTGCTCTTCCACAGGACCTCAGTTCGGTTCCTAGTACCCACATGGAGGCTCACATTCAGCTCCAGCTCCAAGGAATCCAGTGCCCCATTCTGGTCTCCGTTGACATTCATTCACACAACGTCACAAGAAAAAAATTCTTTTAAAATCTTTTTTAAAAGTTTGGCCACACACCTTTAATTCCAGCACGCGGGAGGCAGAGGGAAGCAGATCTCTCTGAGTTCAAGGCCAGCTGGGACTACAGGGAGACAAAGAAGTTTGGCCACATATAGGTGGGCAATAAATATTTGTGTGGGTTTAAGATAGCCTGATACTTTATCTTCTGGTCTGCAACATTCCAGCCCTCCACAGTCACTGAAGTTGTAATCAATCAGCTAGTATTTTAGAATGTTTAACAAAATGTGTGATTCTCCCCTTCTTCCGCTCCCCCGCAACTTCAGTTCATAGGACCCAGGGTTCAATTAAAAAAAAAAAAATTAGTGCCGGGCGTGGAGCACGCTTTTAATCCCAGCACTCGGGAGTCAGAGGCAGGTGGATCTCTGTGAGTTCAAGGCCAGCCTGGTCTACATAGTTCCAGGACAGCTGGGGCTACAGGGAGACCCTGTCTCAAAAAAGACCAAAAA